CCCCTCATGGGAAAATTTCGCGCCGGCCACGAGAGCGTAGGTGGTCGCACGACGTTCCGTTGCAGCTGGCAGCGCGGGGTCCAGGGGTTTGCTGAAAAAACATGGCAGACGTTAAAAACGTCAGGCCAGGTCGCCGTAAAACGCGCAGTCGCAGTTTTTCGCCCAGAATTAGGCAATGTTAAAAGACCCCCGGGCTGCCTCCCCACGTGGAAGCGCGCTGTATCGACCACTTCGTAAAAAAGCTCTGTGTTATGAACAAACCTCTATACTCGGGCAGTAACGTGCTCATCGGTACGCCAAACAGCGAGGGCAGTCATCGCTGATTTGACAGGCATTTCTTTGAGGTTTCTTGTAGAGAGTCACTACGTTCTTAGCCGATAAGGCGCGCCTACGCCTGTTCAATAAAAAAGTGTAGGGGCCGTTTTGAGAATGCCTCCTGCCGTCCATACGGCGAAATCGTTTGGAGTTGCGGCCCAGTTTCGCGTAGTGCGTTCAAGAACCCTGTCTCAGATATCTTCTAAGTGACAAAAAGGGGCGGCGTATTCGCGTTAGGGTGCGCGGTTCGCCGGGACTGTGCCTGCGGCGCAAGAACCGTGGGCCGCAAGTCCGTCGAGCGGCATATGAGCGTAAGTGGTGTGTGGGAGAGAGTGGGGAGGCTCTAATAGAAAATGCAATTGCCTGCGAGAATGGCCGCATCGCAAGTGTCATCAAATATTCAAAGATGTGCATCAACTATCGTGCGGTAACCTCACTGCATTCGAGTTGCCCTGAGAAATGCCAAGATTATTCAGCGCAGGCGAGATTTCGCATGCAGCTGTGAGTTACACAGTTATCTGCATTGCAGGTTAGCCAGGGGCCAGATATTATGATAGAATATGCCGTATTCACCCTTATGCAAGTGCGCTAATGGCCTAACCACTGCGAGCATTCAGGGTTCATTTCAGTGTTGCTAATACAAGGGTGCTACTCAGGGTGCTAAATACAGATGCTTTAAATATTAATATGATTAAGGAGCGTAAACTTGTTCAAACACACCATTTGCCTTTGCAATGAACTGTGGCAACTGTAGCCTCACATCCACATGAGGCATAATACAGTTCAGTTCCATTGTTTAACAGTCAACAAATCCATTATTTAAGCCCCTCTTGAAGGGTCAAAGTTATCCGACATTACTCTTCGTATGTCACGGCCAGTAGCCTTTTATAGTCCTTTCAATAAAGCATAAAATGTAGTCACCGCTGAAACAAAAAGTATTTCAATGCGTCCTGTCAAGACCATGTCCTAATAAAATGTCTAACAATCTGCGCCGTGCCCATTGACCTTTGACCTGGTGACCTCAATTTCGGCACCAGTGATGGCTTTCCTACCGATGATTGCTATATCATCCACGTAGCACGATGCCTATGGTCGAGCCCGTTAGATGTGTGCCGTGCAATTCTGCGTTTTTCGCTCCTATAAGCCTTAAGTTAAGGAGGTGGAATGTTCCCCCTTCTTTTACACCTCTTGACCTTTGACCTTTGACCCCCAGCTTCGACATCCCAACTCGTTTTAGGATTACCCCCCCACGTCCCGAATATCGTAACCGTACGTCAAGCCGTTTAGATTTGTGCCCAACTGTTGACGGACGCACGGCCGGACGGACGCACTGACGCACGCTTATGCAATTCTACAAGCTGCATCCGACTATGTCAGATGAGCTAAAAATTGGACGAATAGTCGCAGGTTTTGAGGTTGGTGCTTCGAGCGTGAGATCATGGAATGAAGAAAAATATGCTCGACCGTGACTAAACCAAAATGCCACAGATGTTTACCGCGGTTTACCTGCAGTGATCAGTGAAATGCATTGACATGCGGAGACGCGCGCTGTATTTGTCCCCTAGCTGACGACAAAGTTGAAAATCTTTTACACTCACTCGCGTGCGCACCAACTTTGTGGCAAAGCTCATGTGTGTGCGCGTATCTTCGACAAGCGAGAGTTCACTGCACGCACGTGCCACCCTGCATGTAGCGGCTATGGGCTATGCAGGCATATAACATGCATATGGCTTTGCAGTTTTATAGATTACTACGTGCTTAGAGACTTCGTGTGCTGTTACGGAAAGCATGAGCTATGAAGTGTCGTACTTATGGAAAAATAATTTTTGCAGTGTGGTGAAATGAGCCGCACCACACGCACCTTTGATATCTTGCTGAGGCTAGATTTGTGACAGCCATACAGGTTCGTCCCTGGTGCTTCCAACAAATCGAGGAACGCTTTGGGCACTAAGGGCACGTACACAAACCGCCACACGAACGGATGGATGAGTGCTTGAAACCCCTGTAATCAAAACATTATTATTTATTATTAAATCTTTATTGCATGTAATTCAAATTAACAGCACTAACATAAAACATAACTAACTCAGCTGATGGTCCTACGCATGTCATCCGCTTCTACATCTCTCATCAACACTTCTCATTACGATTCGGTCATCCGCACAAACTGGACTTTTTATTCATAGGTAATTTTTATTAGACTTTTTTTGGACTCTTTATTTACAGGAAAACTGAACAAGAGAGCCTTTTCATAGTACATTGTATCAGGAGTGTAAAATATAGAGATATGCTACTCTATATTATACACTCCTGATAGTACGACACCAAAGCAACATATTATAATGCAACATGTTACATGTCCTATGAGCGCTTGAGCAAACACTTACCTCTATGACGGGCACAAGGAGAGCGATGTTCGAAGAAACGAACACCATGTTCCGCTGCATGAGCAGGCAGGTAATTATTCGAAGTACGTTGTCAAGCGAGAAGTAGTGGAATATGTGGTTGAGTGGAATATCCACAGGCAGCCGGCCACAGCTGGCCGGTGGTCTTACTATGAGATGTAGATCTCCCATCTGGAATGACTATCAGCAAAACCAAGCGATATAACAAGCTGTTAATGACAGAAAATTGTCAACTAGGCAATACTGTCACCAGCAGCAATTGAAATCCGCAGACAGAATAGAAACTGTTGAACGAGGTATTAATAGACAAATGCTTTCACGTGTTACAAGTTAAAATGGTTTATATGTTAGAAAATGAAGCTGTCACAATATAATAGCTCTTATACTGTTTAGTAATGCTTTGGTAACGTTTGGTTTAGTAATTTCTTTAGTAATAGTTAGAAATGCTGAACGTAAATATCTAGATTGAACATTCTACAGCAGATGGTAATGTTTAGCAGATGTTTTTTTCTCACTATAGATAGACACACTTGCCATGTGCACAGTATTCAGTATTTAAGCACAGTGTATGCACTAGGGTATGACCAATGTATTTTTGTAGTCCTGACCTACTTAACACACGTATGATCTATCTATACATACTAATGACTATTACTTTAAGCCCCCCTCCCCTGCCCAGCTGTATTGGGTAACACTCATTCCTATAGCTATGAAGTCAGTCATCAGCAGGGCTACAACCAACCAGCTAAATGACACAGGGGTGCAGCCTGCAAACATCCGGTCTTCTTTATGGTGGACAGGAACAAGGAACCCAACAAAACGCGAACGCAACCCAATGTTCTAATTTAGGCACAGACTATTTTTTCCTCATAAAAACTCGTCGCATATTTACACGAGTTCAGTCAGAGATCAACATGTGCATACTTACTACATGCAGCAGGCCATGTGGTGGCACTGGCACACGTGTCACAGTCAACGCAAACTCTTGAATTCTGGATTTGAACTTTGAAGGAAATTCCTTCAATCTAGCAACTAAACTGCAAGCATAACAATCTAAATTAAAAAGGGGTTACATAATAAAATACAGTATTACACTCTGAGATATATTCTGTGATCATTTTGATGTTTCATGAATAAAACATTACATACAATTCAGGGCTTGAAACTAACCTAAAATGTTCACTAGCCAGCAGGGCTAGTCACCTGTAAAATCTACTAACCCTTAAAAATATCTACCAGCCCTTGGTTTTCTGAATACACAGTTTTGCCATTTTCGGGGGGGGGGGTCTGGGTTTTGATTTTAGACGCTCTGAGATGCATTCTGCGAAATTCATTGACTTTGTGAAAATCTAGATTTAGTATAGATTCAGTATATACATCAGTACTATGTTATAAGAGCAGAATAATTATATTCTTTATAGTAATTAACGATTAGAACTATTAGTCAGTTTACTGAAATGTGAAAGTTCATGGTTAAGTTGAACCGTTTGTGACTATCTCTATTACAAGTACAGAGGTTGTTAGTAGTTAGTACAAGTACAGTATAGAGTTATAAGTTGAGTTATCCTGTTTGTGATAGTTTAAGATTTGTAGAGTTGTATTGCAATTATACTAGTTGACTGAATATAAGCCACATAGAAGCAAGCGTGTTATGCTAGTGTTAGGATGAACTTCATATTATAAAAAGCTTACAATACCAGTTACAGGAATGTAGGTTTAAAGGTATATATATGCGTGTTATTTTTATAACAGTACCTGACAAAACCATGACTACTATTCCACGTCAATTATAGACACAGAGACTGGATTGTATATTAGCCAGGGTGATTCCAACTGAGTATAAGTACATTTGAGTTTCTAATTTGCTTATTTAGCAAACATCAAATTGAAATCATCTTTTCGTTTGAAAAGGGGAGGGATTGTAGTGTTTAACCCTGAGATCAACTGAACCGTAAACTAACCGTTCCACGAACATAAACAGAAAGTAGCACTGAAACGTATTGCGTACATACACTGTGAGGGAATTAATGTGGTTTAATCCGGTAGTAAAGTCTACAGTATCCAATATGGCAGCGTTCAGCATCGTGACTGTTATGTTTAGGTTTTGCAATTTTATTATGTTTGCACATGCAAGTTTTATACTACTTATTACTAGTTTGGTCGGGTTAGTAGTTGCTGAAAAAGTACTAGTAATATGTTATCTGGTAGGCATTCCCACTCGCCAACAGGGCTGGTCAGCCCAGACATTCTGCTAGCCCTTACTGATTTCTACTAGCCTCGGGCGAGCGGGCGAGCGTTAGTTTCAAGCCCCGCAATTACAGAAATATTGTACAACAACAAACACATACTATTCTCAGTGACTTTCTACATTTTAATATTCAACAATGCAATTAATACCTGTTCTGTAGATATGTTTAAATCACTGTTATATTATTACAATTTTCAGCCTTTTGTGTTTATATACCTTCAGAATAAAATGAATGCTTACCATGACAAACAATCCTTCATAATCTCAAAGTTAGGGTACCGTGACACCACCACACAACAGGTAGGGACAAAACACCTTATTTGGCTTTCAATATCATCCGTCAGTTCTGAGGAAAACAATTCTGGTTCGAGTCTGTAGTGAGAGTTTTTTGTTCCAACCTGCAATTGACCAATAGCATGTTTTTACCTTGTGTTTTTTTTTCAAGAGTTCAAGTTCCTTGTATATTACTTTTAATATTTCTAAATAACAAGTGCCGCAGAGCGACAGCGCTCAACTGACGTGTACTGTAACCGGGTATTCTTCTGATAAACTCACTGGCAACCGAATCAAGTGCGCCCTCCCGCCACGCGATTGATAGGCTTGCTAATAACCGTAGTAACAAGTAAAAAATATAGACAAGTGTACAGCTTTAATGAACCTCGCTATATTAACGTTATCATGGATATGCATCACGCGCAGCGTAGCGTGGGTGGCGGGGGGCTCTAATAGGCAAAAGCATTCAGCTCTTGTTCAAACAGTCACAAAAACAATAAAAAAAAAAAAAAAAAAAAAAAAAAAAAAATAAAAAAAAATCCCATGTTTAGACGGCCTCTTTGAGGGTCAAAAGCCTTATCAGACACATACCTTTCACACCTCAGCGGAAAAGTAGATTCACGATCCTTCATAAAGTGATAAAAAGTTGTAGGCTCAGCGCTGAATAGCAAAAAAGTTTGCAGGACTCGTCGGCTTACATCCATCGTCCTCAGAAAACTTTCTGATATCTGGACCCATTTCCCCGACATGCCCTTTGACAAATGTACCTCCAATTTCGCGGCTGGTGATGGTTTCCCCCCCATCACACAGATCATAAAAAATAATAAGAAGCCGTAGTGACCTTAATTTGTGCCGCAAAGTTCTAGTATTCCTCCCGATACCTAAAGAGCGAATATATCAGGTCCACTTGACTTATGCCAATGGTATTGACCGAATGCTAGATAAGCTGCACCCTTGCGTCGGTTAATAAGTAACGTAACCTATACCCTAACGCGTATTAGTTTGTCCAATATCACTGCTGGTTTATCATTACAACAGCAAGACTATGAAATCAGTGTTGTTGATATCACCTACGTGCCAGTAAATCATCCAGAGTCAGAGCGATAATCCGCCAGATGACGTAAACCATGTGTGCTGGGCCGTATGTTGATAGGACGGCCCAGATGAAAATGAGATGTAGCGTTGTAACCACGGCCACACGGACTAAACAGGATAATAGAGTAAAACACACGTCACTAATAACGGACGCACATGACAGCCGCTGACAAAAAAATATCTTTATCAACGACTTGCCCCGTGTTTACCCGAATCGATCTGAATATAGCATTGCGTACGCGCCGCTAGCATGCAACCCGAAAAATGTCCCGCTGCACTATAACATCGTATCAGCACGCCAGCGTCTTGAAACTGCATGAAAACTCGTAAACAACTCAGTCAACTGAATTTCTTCATGACATGCGGATTTCATTAGACAATTCTAGTAAAACCAGCATGATAATTGACAAACCAATACGCGCTTGCTAAAAGTAAGTAACTTATAACTACCACAAGGTGCTCCAGTTACTCAGAGCATGGATCACATTGCATAATCAATGACCATTATTCCTTTTAAGGGAAAATATTCCCCCTCCATTGCGGACCACATACTTGACCTTTGACGCCTACCAAATTCGATCATATCCAGAGTCTTTTCCGCGATCCCCCCCCGACTTCCCGAAAATCAAGATCGTAGCGTCGCACGTATATATATATATGTGCCGTAACTGTTGACAGCACAGGACCGACGAACGACGACATTACATGCAATTCTACAAGCATGCATCAGATCGACAGCCCTCAGACCTGAGCTAAAAAGAAATACCTTTTCCGCAATAAAAGGTCGGTAGTATGTGATACAGGTAGCATATTTTCTATCGCCTGTAATGTGTGTCAGCACAAACGAATGTACCCTTGCTTCGTGAGGATGTTGTTTTATAAATGCACCATCTGTAAAATATCATTAAACAATTACACTTACAATAACATAAAGCTTTAACATTTTACAAACCATTTTAGGAAAGTTTTAGAACAACAACCATTTTGCAATATTTGTAATTATATCACCTGGAAATGCTTAAATGTAATTAGTCACACAATCATGTACTTTATTTACATGTAAAACATAATTGAAGTACTCTGTGAGGTAGACAAGATAAAATCATCTATGTAGGGTGGAAAATTGGCTATAAGAATGGGTTACAATTCGATGTCATCAGAAGCTTGCACACCATCAGGACAGCAGCTCTGATAACTACTCCATTTTAGACATATGAATATAGGGATACAAACCTCCATGGCCATATTTTCGTTCAATTTACCTATGGCTACTAGTAAACAGCCAACTACTACATCATCTTTCTAACACTGTAACACACGGCGCTATCTTCCTACTGAAGCCAGATAAGCATGGTATAACCTGGCAGACACAGAGCAGGAATATTGTAATCGTCCACAGATACTGGCTCCATGTCATCAGTTGCTACAACCTTGATGGTCGCCCTACGAGTTAGAGTGCTTCTCTTGTACTTCTTTACCTATTACCAGAAAAACCTTTTTATTATTCGTATGGATTTGACTAATAAAATGTGCCCTCAAAATTTTTATGATCCAATGCAATTCAAGCATAGTATATATTCACTCCTAGTAATATAAATACATATTGAAACTCAGCATATACGTGACTAGTAGTGGTATAACTTTCAGAAGGTAAACTTAATTTACACATATATAGAAATTACCCTGAGTTCAGCTGGCGGATAATTATAATCACGTGGCTCACTGCATGATGGATACTGTGCGCAGACGTCCGAGATAACTGCCAGCAGTTGAGAAGCATATTCGCAATGGAATATATCTTCTGTATCCTGTAGTAAAATTTATTATTTACTTAGCGTAAACTTCCATTCAAGCAATTTCGTTTGTGAAAACGAAAGTTAACATTGCCATTATTTGGTAGCTTTATTATTAGAAACATTTTCTAAAAATGCAATTATACTTGTAACGTAATATTTACCTCAGGCTGTGCAGTGAGAGGTTTCAGGCCTGTATCACTGTCTATACCAACTACAACCACTACGTCCGCAAGAGAATTATGCAGTTCATATGCCATCCTGCAGACTGACTAAATTATGGCTGCCAGTGTTAGCTAGTGTTGGTCTTTCTCAGCCTTTGAGATGAACGCTAAAAACAAATTTCGTTTGTCAGCGTATCACTTTACGGGTGCACTAGTCTACGCACCTGCTAGTGTCACTACTACGGATGTAGCAAGTAGTAGACAAAGTAGTAGTAAATTTTGTAACATCTGTAACTGTTTGCTATGAATTTTAAATATCCATGTACTATGTCTATGTACTTATAATTTTTTTATGTACTTAATTAATGCCATGATAATTTAAATGGGTAGGGTATGCCTGTATATACTATATACTATATAGTATGCATGTTTTAAAATTGTTATGTACTGTTTTAATTATTGGTCTACTTATGTTAGTTGGTCGGTCTTAAAAATAAAAGCTCACCAGAGCTTATGTTTCTCATGTTGTAAACATACCGAATTTAAATAAAGATTACTTGAACTTGAGTACAACTTTGAACTTACAACTTACAAAATACAAGAGCTAGTAAATATTTACCTTCCCGAAATACAAAAGTGCGGCGTGCATTAAATAGCACTAACTACCTTTAGTTTTACGTGTGATTCAACTATATAAATGCAATGTTATTAATCTTAATCATCACTTTTAAACCTGCATGTTCTCTGGGTGTTCTATGCGACATGCCATGGTTCTAATCCTAATGAACGTGTAAAAACTTGATTCATTAACTTTTGTCAAAAACCAGGTCCCACGATGGTAGTGCCATCTACAAACGCGTAGTAGTAATGTAATAACGCATTTATCCTGTGCATCAGCATTTCCGGTCGCCACGTCGTCTTTTGATTCCAACGTTTCTCTTGTGTTATAAATTGTAAAATGTCTGGGAACGTTTTAACCATTGTATCAAAGTTCTGCAATGAGTATGCAGAGACTACGTCGAAGAGATTAAAACTGATAGATGCATATCTGATGTACGTAATGCTCACCGGCATTATTCAGTTCGTGTATTGTTGCTGGGTTGGCACGTTTCCCTTCAATTCTTTCCTATCAGGATTCATTTCATGTGTTGCTTCATTCGTATTAGCAGGTACGTAACGCGCACATATAACTAAGTGAAACATGACGAATAAGTGAATACGATAGTTCTTCATTCTCCACTGTACATTGTTGTTCAATTTAAGCTACTTTAATTACAATGTCTGTAGCAAATATTTAATATAAAAAAGTACCGGTATAAGTTATAAATATAAGTATATAACTATATAACTTATATAGTTATAACGTATACTATAAGTATAAGCTACCATAACGTATAAGTACCGTATATTGTGCTCATACTCATAGGTCTAGGGATTACTCCCCAGGATTGAAATATTGGAAACAAGGGGGAGGGGGAGGCGGAGGGAGGGAACCTAGGGGGGTCCGGGGCCTTGTTGGTCGAATCACTGCAGCAAGAACAAGTCCGCACCTGCACTACAACACACAGCATCCTAATTGACTAGAGTATAACACATCTATATATAGTTTATATATATATCAGAGAGTAGATAATTAGGGAAGGAGTGTGCATCAATAAAACAAGGGAAATTACGTTCATTACTTAGCCTTAAAATACCTACGATTTATCGCGTAATCATCCACAACTTTGAGCTCAATATCGCTACCAGCTACATTCGCCTGCAATCGCTGCGAATCGTTTCCTCGTTTACACAAGCAATCCGGACGATACCCCCAGACTAAAACGTACGACACCGATCTATCCATCTTTGGCCATCAATCCAAGCCATTGCGCCTTCTATTAAACAAAGGCAGCTACCTAAACAGATTGCTAACTCGGCGGGCAATGTGCTCGGCGCGAGATTTGCAGCCCGATCACCTGCCTGACTGATTGGCCGTTCGCGTTCGCGTGCGTGACGGGCATGCCATGCGTATGTGCCCGATGGTGGCTGCTGTACGCGTATGCCTGTGTTAGCTGTGTACCGGGTCAAAGGTTATCTCGCCGATAGTGTTGATGCCTAATCTCCCAGCCGAGCCACATGCTCGCCGCCGCAGAGTTAGCAAAAACGCTGTTAGGTAGCTGCCTTTTGTCTTGAATAAGAGGCGGGAATAGGGCTTGGATTGATGGCAAAGAATGGGATAATCGTATGCGTACGTTTATAATCTGTTATCTCCGGATTGCCTTGTGATAAAACGAGGAAACGATTCTCGCACGATGCTAGGCGAATGTACTGTGTTACGATTTTGCAGCTCAAGTTGGATGAGTTTACGCGTATTAAAATCATAGGTATTTTCAGCGCTAGCTAATGACGAATTTTCCCTTGTTATTGATGTCACACTCCTTCCCTTATTATCTACTTCCTGATTAATATATATTAATACTATAACAAATTATAGCTACTTATAACACTATAAACTACTTATAATAAGCTATAGCTACTATAACAACTATACATACGTATAACAACGTATATATATGACGTTTATATATTAGTCAGATTACATGCGTGTGTGCGTGTAGCTGCAGGTGCGGACCTTGTTCTTGCTGCCAGTGTGGTCGAATGGGAATTCTTGCCGAGGTGGCCCTCCATTGCCAGTAGCAGCAGCGCCTCCAAAGCTGACTCACTCAGCCTGTTCCTCATGTAGCCATTCCGATTAAAAAAAAAAAAAAATCAGAGCGGAAATAATTTAACGTGGCGCAACGATTTTGAAACGGGGGGGGGGTCCCCCAAACGGGGGCGGGCGCACCTGTTTGCGCAACGTAGGGAGAAGCCTGGGTCTATATCCCCCAGGGTACTGCCGGAACGTACCCTGATAACTATCAGATATGGTTAGGGTTTTTGTTACCGTTAGGGAGTAGGGAGTAGGCGTAGGCGACTCCCTAGACTCGTTAGTGGAGTAGGCGAGGTACGGTCCGGCATATTAGATAGTACCAGGGTACGTTCCGGCAGTACCCAGGGGGACATAGACCCTCTCAGCGTAGTTGAGATAAAGATGGATCTTGTTACTATAGCCTGCGTACAGTTGCCGCAGGGCTATAGAATATTATATTAAGAATGCTAGGGACCAACTTATTCACGATTACTCGCAGTATGTGGTAGTGTGTAGCTATAAAACGTCTGTGTTAGGCAATTAATGCCTCTTATCCGAAGTGAATATGTCTTAAGTTATATCAGCTACTAAAATTTAACCTCTAACTATCGTTGAAATGGTCTGCTTGCAGTATTTCTTGTGAACGAACATTATTTACGAACTTCAAACGCCCATTTTTGGTGGCGCTGCAGCAGCGCCAGTCAGTGGGTTGGTCCCTAGTATTTGTAATAGAATGTTCTACAGCCCTGCGGCAACTGTACGCGGGCTATAGTACAAGAGCTACAGTGAATCCTGCAGTGGCACAGCACACATGCCAACAATGAACATGCCTACACTTACATGAACTTGATGAAGTCGAGCACTCGTGACTGCTTCACATTATTTCCATCTACGTAATTAACCTTGATTATATTCGATGATGTACATTTTGTGGGTGTAAGAATTATGTAATAATGAGTGCATTGTATATCTGTATTTTTAGTATGTTTGAGAGTACAAGTCAACCCACAGAATAAAAAGGAATTTCAAGGAATCAGCCCAGAGAGAGCATTTGCAGACTTCACCTTCGCTCACGTAGTATTGCACCTTGTCGTGATGAATTTCATTGGATGAACTATTAGTAAGTACTATGTTTACTAGTGATGTGAGTGGTCATCGATTTCGCTGTTGTGTGGTCCTTATCTTTCCCAATTGATTAATTTATCATGATATTTTAACAATTAATTTTATTCGACTACTGCCAACGTCTGTTAGAATAGTCGTAGAACCTTCCTGTTTACACATAGAATAATCCCACCGTTCGCTGTATGGATGAACTTTAGTACTTGTAAGCCTATCACTTCCACGTGTAACAATAAACATTGTCATATGTGCACAGAGGCAATTGATAGCTGGCATCATCAATTTAGATGTAAGTTAGTCACTTTGTCAAATGTTATTTAAACTGATCCTAATTTCTAAGCCTGTCATGGTAAAATCAATCGTTTCAATAGAAGTGAAGATCGATCTAGATTTTTGGACCAATTCTCGACACTAATCTATATTGACTAAGCCAATATTGCTAAAGTGCCTTCATAGATATACCCAAAAGTGTGCAAAAGTAAATCATTTTCATGAGTTCATTGTTTTAAGTATACGTGTATGAAATGCACTATCAATTGGAATAAGATGTCTAGGCACAGGTTTTATGTTGGGATATTATATCAGGTCATGTAGGCAGCTACTTGTTTTTATGGTCCCTTCTCAAGGCACAATTCAGTTGTTATTGAGTAGGGTTCAATTTTTTTTTCATGCATTGATAATGTTGGAATGCAGACTTAACAGTTAGTTTAATATGGAATTTTAATGAATAATTCAATAAGTGTGGATAATTTATTTATTTGTAGGTAGATACATGAATTATTCTCAATTTCATTCTATGGAACCTCGTGAATGGAAAAACAACAGAACAGAACAGCAGCCAGAACATTTCTTTTTTCATCCAGACTTGGGATTCACCAAATATCAAAACAATGGAACTAGAGTGTCTATGACTGTAGCAATAGGATTGTGATTCCTACTACTTTAGAATCAGTGTTGCAGTTGGATAATATATGCTTAAGATTGTAAATTTCTATAAAGCATTCCAGGATATAAATAAAAAATATTTCCTGTAGCATTGATGGATTTAATAAGAAACACACTTTTATATCATGACAATAAATAAATCTGTGCATGTATATTGTGTAATTTGTGTTTGCCAATGTATACTCCACTATGCACAATTTGACCTCATTCCTGTGACTTTTTCATATCCAACAACTACCTAAGTAAAGTTGTTTGAAATGCCTCATAAGACCAATATGCATTTGTAAAGATACACACGAGCATATCAATGGTAAATATGATTAGCATAGTGCACAGTCTTCTGTCATTGTGCAAAGCATGGAAACAAATTTCCACGGTCTCTTCCACGAGGTGTTACAGTAATCGGCCAGTGGTCAAGTCTACATGTTATTTACACGAGGAACATCTAGATGTTCTGTAATACAGCAATACCCCACCCCCCTGCCACGCAAGTAATGCATTCCAGAAAAACGGCAATAACAAAACTCGGTAACGTGAAACGCATTTCAACATGCGACTTATTTCGCAACATATAATTGGAGTAGAGTTCTTATAGATAATCTCACGGACATAAGACCTACAAGAAGGACAGTTATGAATACAAGTAAACATTTTTTAGTGCATGTGTTGATAATTTAAGGATGTAACACAGTATCGTGATAACACTTAGGGAAAGGTAAATTCATAATTGGAATCACTGGGAGGGAGGGAGAGTACTGTTACCAACTGGCTAGCTGTCATTATTATTGTCATTGTTGGGTTTTGGGTGTTTCATGTTTTGATCTAGAGGTCGAAAAGTTGGTTGCCATTTACAGCAAATCGTTTCTTTGTACAGATCCCTGTATCAGATGAGTTAATTGTGAAGAACTGCCATTGAAATTAGTATACTTGATACCAATCGACACTATAATATTAATTCGCGAAAAGGTGAGGAGTGTGGAAAAGGGCAAGATTTAGTCCTGTATTTTTCATGGTTTTGATATCCTGAATGAACTTATAGATAAATGAGTTAATAATAACACAAACCACAACATAATTGTGTGTACATGTGACACTATCAGGCAGTTGTTAAAAACGAACTCAATTAGAATCAATTAAACGTTGGATTCTCTTTTATTATGTCATTACAGTGCAAATAAATAAATAAGAGTATCGACGACATGCCATATCATATATTAGCAAAATATATGTTATGCGCAGTGCAAGCATGCGCACAATCATGTTTAGAATGTCATCACGTCATTAATTCACCAATTTATCAACCGTGTTCATACAATTTATTTACAAATATAACGTGGCAGCTGAACTGAAAATGGTGATTTATAATCTGAGACGAAAACAAAACGAACATAGGAAAATTGGCATAGAAGAACATCGAATGCAAGTCACAATTTGAGATACTAGCCAACACTGACAAGTGATATTACTATTTGATAACAAAATTACAGATTTCAATAAGATCCAATGTAGGATCAAATATGATAGCAGATGCAGCGAAAAAAATACACAGGAGCGGCGAGCGATTTCGCTCCCGTCAGCTTTCAAAGCGCTCTGGTAACAACAATTACGAGAGCGAAAATTTTGGAAGATACGAGAAAAAATCACTCCCGTGCTGCCGGCAGCATTAGAAATTAGTTCCGACCCAGAGGCCCGAGCCCACCATATTACGGTTAGCGCACCGACAGTTTAAACAGACTTGCAAACGGGAGCGCATAATACGACCCGTTCCTCAACGTAGACGGGTTATCCAAAACATCTAGAGCGGCATGAACTCCCTCAACGCATGATTCGCCACACGAACAAAAACTCGCGACAGTCTAAGAAATGGATTGCGCCATGGCCGGCATGTAATGCAGCCCAGTGTTTTTATGACAGCATAACAAGTTTTTATATCGCAGGGGTTATCGTGGGGAGTGAGGGCACGACCAGTGACACCTGACCCGCACGTAATCAAAGCTGTTAATTGAATTCGTCACTTTTCTTAACCTAGAAAGTGGACTATTTTTATTCAGTTAGATATCTAGAAGCAATGTAAACTGTATATACTTAAAGATTCTACGCACTTGTAACTTTGCGGATGTGCGGCAGCATTGATCTATGCATGGGGGAGGAGAACAACAAATATAAAACCTTGCCCAGAAGCTCCCGGCATTCCTAGAGATTCCAGTACAAGTTTTTTTCCACATACTCAAAGTAACTAAAAACTCTCTTACGTTCTGAACTTGCTCAGTCGATGTAAAAAGAAAGTTGAAAAATGAAAAGAAATGAAGTAAAAAAAGAAACTAGATAATAGCCATACCATCATTACCATGATTATAGTTCTTGATTTCCTGTTTTTGTCATGTTACCTGACTATGTGTACTGTGTAGTGCATGTCTGTCTGTGTGAATGAAATTGAATAAGAATGTGATTGGTTTCTTAGTCGAGTAAAATAAATTTAAAAAAATGAGATCGAATGTAATTTGTTGACGATAATTTGTTGATAGTCTGATACTGGTGCCGAGTGCGCGATGAATGCTGATGAATGATATTAGAGTCGGTGCATCAAAATTATGAAAATCTTAACAAAATCATGCTATGAAAAAGTAGCTCTGGCCAAGCCTAAAATAGCTCCCGTAAAAAAAATTACGAGAGCTCTTTTTTTCATACAAAATCAAAAAAGAGCTCTCGTAAAAAAAAGAGTAATTTTTAGGCTGATCAGATGGGATCAAAACGATGATTCATAGAACATTTCAATGTACATGTAACCACTAATGCCAATCTTTGATCCGAGTAGGAACCATATGAACAGTAAATACGTGCACATTATAGTTGAATTCGGTATCACATCTCGCACTGGTGGCAACTCCAATGAAAAATGCTTTAGTTTTTTATTGATGCTGTTTTGCGAAAAATTGGGTATTACCTTTGACATAAATTTACAACAGGAAGGCAGTGTTGTCGTTCGTCAGCCTGCACCGGCTCAGGAGTGAATAAAGACACATTTGTTCGTATTTACTTCCGATTGGTAAGGAATAAGAATTGACAGTAGGTGCACTTTTACAAAACAATAGTTCCACTCTATGGGGTTGATACTGTGAATGTAACTGGGCTATCAAATCAATTGGATCACGTAATTGTAAATGAGAACAATTCATAATAATAATAATAATCAAACAATTAAAATTTCAAGTAACTAACTACATTTGAAAGTGGATGAAAAACATGATATTCTGCTATTTCACTGAAAAGTGCCTGACGTACTTCTAAGCAGCAAGTTAGAGATATCAGGGGTTTCCCCACGCCATAATGAAGCCACGTTAGGCCAAGTTAATTTGCCACATCCCATAATACTCTGACACGCCTTAATTGCCTAATCCGCATGTCTTAATTTTCAATTGTGTTCACATTTTACAGTGTCAACTCATTACAATGCTGTGTTTTCACACCTTGATGTATGTTTCCATATATAGATCCGAGTTTACCTGTACATTGAGGCTGCTTATGACTCGTAATTGACTTCAATGTGCAAAGTCCCCTATCAATCCATCCCTCATCTGTCTATAAATGATATTGTCTTTTGAAATTCCTGGGATAACCATGTATATGTTTCAAGTAGAACACACCACCAGAAGTTGTTTCATGAATCATCACGAGAGATTTTGAAATGACTGTGATGTTTTTTGCAAGACTGTAACAAGATAGAGGCATTAATTATGGAACTGGACAGATTGTAGGTAGATTCCACTCGTATAATACCTTTGTTGTCAGTCAGTAATGATAAACAGTCATTGACAGAAAGGATAGAAATAAATGACACGTTCACGCACAAAATATATAGCCAGCAAACATCATCAAGCAGTTGTAAATATGTGTTTACAATCACAGTGCAAGTCCTTAAAATTTTAAGATCATCTCCTGCCACCATTCTCTTTCTGGAGACTATCTTGGTACACTGACTTAGCCAAAACAATTTCTTTTTCCTGTTTTTGCACGACGATTTATGATCAGTTTGCTAACCCATTGCGGGTCAACAGTAGTAGAGTACAAACAGCTCCACTACGTAATTTACACTGGCAGCAGATTAAATGATACAGCCAAATAAATGTGTCTCTAGAAAATGTGCATACATTCACACGCACATGCTCGCACCCACACACAGACGTATAGGCACAAACATACATACATTAGCTAGAGGTACTGTGCCACGAGTTATTGATGGTTTTATAACTTTTGGGTATGAACAACATGAAATCAAATAGTATATATGTTATACAATTAGAACGGTTGGGTTGTTTTAAATAAAAGTACAACGTAACAGGGCTCTGTTTTAGCCATCGTTGCATATCTGTATGAATTTCGGTAGTTTTAATACAGACTACTGTGTTCGGGGAAGAAGTGGACGCGTAGTGAAAAATATCTATACAAAAATAACTCGTAGTTCTTACCGTTTATTGCCAACAAAAAAGCTTTTTACAACACATACTGTGCATTGTTAAGTGTTGAGAATACACTAATATTCACTCAGTATTTACAGGAACAACAGCAAACCTGTTCTACAGTGTTCTTCGGGACAGTCTGCCTGGCTATGTACATGATTTCATCATATCCACCTTGGGCCTTCACTACAATATCTGCTTCGTGAGTATCTCATACACTGTCCGTCGGCGGAAGTATGGCATGTCACCCTGAAAATGGTCGAGATATCGGTTGGACAACGAAACACGCAAACCACTTTTGTTGCCGGAGAATTGTTCATTACCATACTTCTTACAACGAAAGACGGCTAATACATGTTAATTACACGACGTGGATTTTTGTACAGTAAATAATGCAGTTTATTTTAAAGAACCAAGAACCAAATAAATTTGTGAGAAGATGATTTTTGCCAAAGGTTACCTGAAATGGGAAATCACTAAAAACATGCCTCTCAACGAAACTAACAAGAAATCCTCACAATTGACGTGAAGTCCGTCACAAATACGAATGAGATTCATGGATTGAGAGATTGCTGGATCGATGAGCCCTCATTGCTTACCTGCGTGAATGTGAGGGTGGCGTTACGGCAAAGGTACTCTGCGTAACGCAGCGTGAACATGCCACAGTCGCATGCGTTCATCTGCAGTGGTATGTCCTGCAGCAGATAAAACTACAATTAGCATGACCAACAATCTGTCTCGGATGCATGGCTGTCAATCAGCCAAAATCTGTGCACGTGTAGGTAAATACGTGAACGTATCAGTATGTGTGCGCGCACCCGCGTGCGCATGCACATTTAATAGTGTAAAACACCTTATTAAGTAAAATAAAAAATCTTGCCTTCATATTATAAGAATTCCACCCACTCGGATCAAAGAGACTTTTCTTCTTTTCTCCATGTTCGGCCCTTAAGTACTCACTGCAAAGTTCAAACCAATATGTATTGTATTGGCATTACATTCTATCAAACTTCACGAACTATAAAATGTTTGACAATCATGTTCTACCTTGTATTAGCAGTTAATGACATTTGCTATCACATGCATACAATATGTATTACATGTGTTGACAACTGACGTGACTGACGTGACGTGTTGACATGTGTTATAAGAACTATAATTTTAAAGCACACGTGGATAATAAAATATTGATAGACTGTCGGTCTTACTTTAGCAAATTTAGGCATTCATTGTTGCCTCCCTGCATGGAGTCATAGTACTTGATCGACTTTTCTCGGAAGTCAACAACCTATTAATAGAAAATCAGTGCAGAATTACAGATCATGGAAGTTACTATAAGGCACAGTTGTACGCAAATTTCATCAACCTGAAAATATCTTAAAATTCCTGAACTCCCCCCCCCCACAGCAGTAGCCGTCACGTAAAAACATAACTACGTGTGACCAATAACTCCAGAGTTCTTTCGGGGAATTTTGGAAGGTATGTTGTTTATAGATATATGAGGGAGGGTGCAGGTAAGGAGGGGGTTGTACAATCTCGACCTTTTTAGAAACACTGATTTGTCATATATATGGACACTTTATTTTTGCCTCATGATTACGAAAAGGTTCAGAAAAAGGAACATAGTTACTAAAAAGGTTTTTTTATTAAAAAATTATATATTTAGAAAAACTTATACTACTATGGGCAAGTTCAGTAAAGCTCTCAAGTTCTGTTTCCCACAACATTAAAATGTTATGACACTGTTCAACATAACATCAAACCGTACTACTGTACACTTAAAGTTCTGACATTAACACCATAAAGTTTTGCATGATAACACAACGATGTATCAATCAAGCTGTGGAAACACGGCACGACTATATTTGGACTGTCAAAACACAGCTGGAAATTAAGACATACCGATTAGGCAATTAGGGCATAGGCGTTAAAGGCCTGGGAGGAGCCATGGACTTCTCTTTCAACATTTATCTCAAACAAATTGAATGCTGCAATTTGTTTCGAAAAAGATCTATAAACAATATGTATTGATATTGACAAATGAAAACGAATGCTCGGATAATCAAAACGACTAGACTCTGATAATTACTAGTAATCTACATTATACCTCAAAGACGCATACGTACGGATAAGCACCAGTGAATACCCAGATGGATTGGAACAACCATCAGATCGTGACTGAAAATGTCCACTTTGCGTGTCCAACGAGACACAGACTTATATCCACTAGACTTTAGCTTGGGGAAGAAGAATGTGTTCTGACAGAAAACAGATGGGTAGTTTGTGCCTTTGCCCCTCTCCATCAGTAGGCTTAAGTAGAAGTTGATCACCTGTATGTATGAATAAAAAATAATACAATCTATATATGTTACATCAATAATGATCAGTCAATTTATAATAAATATATGTATAAAGAGTCAAAGATAGATCAATCTCATGATAAAACCCGACGTGCTGAACAGAGCAAGGAGAACACCAAAGCTAAGGCCAAAACTAGCTTGCAATGGTAGTGGTGATCTCCATTCCTATAATGTGAATTAGTTAGGACTCTCAAATGCACGGCCAACATACCATGCGGAACACGGATGAAACAACCGCTATCATAATAAAGCAAGTAAGCTACTTGGTAAAGTGCCACGTTCAACCAAAATAACGAACATGACATCTCAAAAGCGGGACCTTCAACTTTCCCTCCTCTCTCTCTCTCTCTCTCTCTCTCGCTCCCTCTCTCAATACCTTCAAATTGTCTCCCTCCGTTTGCCATCTGCCGGTTATATCTCGCCGCCTAACACAAACCACCGCAACAGCACACACCGGGGTTCTTAGATATTATTCATAACAAAGCCTTTCACCGGAATTTTTCCACGAGTTTAATCATCTCGAGCACAATTTTCGCACGAAAATCTTTCGACCTTCTCATTTCGCCACGACGCAAAAGAAACGCGACACGCACCTCGTCGTTCAACCAGTTGAGGCCGGCGAGGGTGTGCATGTCTCGCCGTGTTATCGACAGCCGGAATCCCTCGGCGAGCACCTCCTCGGTCGGATGCACCCGCAGCGCACGGTCGATCGCCGACTCCGCCTCGTCGCTGAGCACTGAGAACGAGAATAGACTCTTGCTGTGTCTCGGCTAGCGCGGTATCCAGCTTGAGTTCTGCTTACTAGTGGTGTTCGCTTATCGCGCAACAGAGGCACGGTTACGACTGCGCATTTGGATGAACTTATCTATAGAGTATGCCATGCATTTTTGATATGCAAATGACTCTTAGGCAATGAATAGCATATGTGGAAGACAATTCGATCGTGGATACAAAAAAGATAAAATCGTTTTTCCAACCAAGGTCGATGGGATTACCATATCTTTTGTCTAAACACCTTTTAAATGCTATCATGAAACAAAGTTGCTGTGATTATAAAGTAGGGGATGCCTTTATACTCAAGTTATATGAATAACCTCACTAAATGGTCAGTACAGTCAGTATAGTGTTTACCTGGGAGTGCCTCTTCAATCACCTCTTCTTCTTCCTCTTCTTCCGTTTCAAAATATTCGTCTTCTACGACAGCTGGCTCGTACTCTCCTAGCTTTATCCGTTCCCTTACCTTTTCCTCAATAGACAACTGAACTGCATCTCTCTTAAAGTACAATATTCAATCATAAACAACTGTTCATTTGAATCACACTGATGACTATATTAAAAAGGGTATAAAATATACTGTTATGTGTTAAAATGTTATATTCCTGCCCTGTTGCCACTATATGTAATAACATAATTTGTCATCAGTTCATTACACAATGTGCACTTAAATGTTACATGAAAAATGCAAGTCTTTTAAGTAGAATATTCCCAGTGACAGTGTAAACATGAGGAGAAAAATACCATTGTGATTAAATAAAATGGGAAAAATCACCTTTTCTTGTAAAACTTTGGCTGTCAATGACACTTCTTGTATTTCCTTATCTCGTATTGTTGCCGAAATAGCAAATTTCTTCCGCCTGAAATTAATGGACATCAGACGAATTCATAATGCTATCATCATTATGTCTATATATACTTATAAGGTGACTCCTTATAACCTCATTCCAACAATATCACCAGGGCACATAACATATACCAGTTATCAGGCATGAGCATCATGGTTTTCATTACTTACAAACTTTCGAGCAGGTCATCGGCCAAGTATGGTGAACTTAAGATCGGTTCCAGCGATGATGGCTTCGTTAGAACTACCTTCACCGAGTTTCTGCCATCTTCTGCACTTGGAGCTGCAATGCGTAACCCCACTTTTTTTTTAGATAAGACCCAATAAACGGTACCGACAATAAACAACTCTTAATTTGAAACAGTACACATGAAAGAAAAGAAAAGAAAAGACCGCTAAGCCATACTCAAGATAGTCACCACCAAACAGTTGCATTTAACATATGATGGCAACTTGTAAACACCCGTACGACAGCACATTTTCTACGGCAAGGTAGGTGATAATTCCGATAAGCCTTACATCTTTGCGCCGATTCGAGGGGGGACGTGCTGCGGGATACTGGAGCCGAATCCGATCCCAGGTCACTCGTGTCTACGGCCATAGATTTCTTCAGTATCGCTGATTGGCGGATTCGCTCCCTGGTGCCAGAAGCTTCGCTGGGCGGCAGCTTTTCTACGTGGAATGCAGGCTTGAGCGGTGTGCTCGCTTCGGGCGGCGTCTGTGCTTCGGGCTTTAGTTGCGATTTGCGGTTCCAGCTCCACCTTGGAAACACGAATTTATGAATTAGGAGAGTAGGATAACGGGTTGATCTCACTACTATGATTAATAACTCACTTTCAACATGCTGTTTATGACAGTCACTGCAGTTACCTTGTTCTATTACTGCGTGGTGGTTTGCCTAGCAACGAATTGTCTTTTTATTATTGTTTTCAGCACAGATAACAAGATAAACAATTTACATAGACAAATTTTCATTTCTGAAAGGTCTGCTCGACAACGCAAGTAACAACCTCAGTTTTCTTTCTAAATGAGTGGTTACAAATCTGACAGAAATACCTCATTCTGTAACTGATGAAGGAGCAGCTAATCTAATATCAACTTACAAACCAAGTTGATCCTTAGTTCTTGAGAACAAAAGCGAACTATTCGGCTGGACTGACGTGACTTGCTGGAGCAACTGGCGATACTTCTCCCTCTCTTCCAAAAGTTCAACCTGATAAAACCATGTAATGAAGCCCATCATATTTTGTAACTAAACCTACTTGCATTGCAAACGCAAATCCATTTCAATCAGACTGCTGCATTTATTCATACGACAGACGAACCATTACTTCTGAGGAATTTGTGCAAGATAAATCAGAACTTTGAAATAGAATCCAGTTCCTGGGAGTAGCTCATAATGAACTGGAATTTTAAGCAGACACTTGATATACATCAAAGGTATGTTTATAGTGGACAAAAACACATGCACACACATACACGCATGCACAGAAACACAGACACACATGCACGCCTACACATCTGGTCCTTGATTATAAAATCAGACGTAAGCCATTATGCTCACAGTGAATTTGGCTCAAACAGAGATACATTATAAAATCAGTTCTATATCACTATCATGTCATGATATTTTGTCTCTCTGCATAGCTACCAGCCTACCTTTCTAGCTGTTGTGTGAGTCCTACGTTTCTCTTTAGCACTGCTCTTTTGCCGACCGAACAAACCATTAATGGAACGGAATGTAGTACTAGTAGATCTAAGGTTCGGTTGTCTATACTCTGCTCTAAACATACCAGTGAGACCACTGTTACTGAAAGTAAGAGTAAAGTTAATAGTTATTTATACTATAGCTCAATTAGTTTGGCCTTTTATACAAAACGTCCTAATTAAAAACCTCATTAATCATTTATCACATTCTAAGTTATCGTATCTCAAATGTTGCAAGTGTATCAAGTATTACTAATAGCATGAACATGTATACACTGATATACATATGTTCAGGAGTTAGTGAGACAAAGGAGTTTGACACGGATTTGGTACTGATTTCACTACATTTTTGTCATGTGAGTTCGAAGTGAATAAAAATACAAATGTATACAAACATGAGCTTCTTTTGTTCACTGGTCCTTATTCTATCTTCCGGTAGTATTACAAACCGCGTAGCTTCCTTCGTTTTGACATAAATCATACTTTTGCCTGACATAGTTTTCTCGTTATTTACCGTCGTGTGGCGTTGCCAAGCCGCAAATTCTCATGCACAGCAACTCAAAGGAGGCGCGGCAGGGATCGTGTCTTCCATACGTTATCTCGTGAAGCAGTTTTTGTTCGGCTAACAAAGCCGGGAGATGACGACGTTAACTCTCGCATTCATCACATACTATTGGTGATGATAAGTAAGGTGTAAACACATGCGTTTTCCTGCAATTGCACAGTAATGGTTGCTATGCAAAACACATGTACGAAAAGCTACAATCAGCTGGAAGAATTTACTCGCCAAGATTCATACCCATCATTCCTCCGCGGGTGAAGTAGTTCAGATATTTTACCAGCGCAGCGTTTATTTAAAAAAAAACTGCTGGATTCAACCATAAAAACAAGGCATTCTAACTATAGTTTAAATGTAAAATAGTTTTAATTTTTAAACCCAGCATGGGCACAATGAAACTAAATTTCTAAGCACATTTTCTGCACTCGGCTAGACTATACGGCCTAAATTCCCTGCCGCGCCTCCGAGTTGCTCTGCATGAGAATTTGCGGCTTGGCAACGCCACACGACGGTAAATAACGTGAAAACCATGTCGTGCAAAAGTATGATTTATGTCAAAACAAAGAAAGCTACGCGGTTTGTAATACTCCCGGAAGATAGAATAAGGACCAGTGAACAAAAGAAGCTCATGTTTGTATACATTTGTATTGTTTTTCACATCGAACTCATACGACAAAAATGTAGTGAAATCAGTACCAAATACGAGTCAAACTCCTTTGTCTCATTAACTCCTGATATACATGTGTTCATACTAACAGACACTACCAATGACATCTCTATACACGTAACTTATGCCACCTCAGAATTATCATACGTTACAATGAGTAATCGCAGCAACTTAATATTGTGCAAACATTTTTGGCCGCTAAAGTAACTGACTCTCATATATGCGTCTATGGTTTATGCAAATTGATAAGTTTTTCAACGAAGTTTGTATGATAAACCAGTCAGTAAACACGTGGCAGAGATAACTACTGGAGATCATAACTAGAAAACAAACTCTGGAATACCTGTGACTCGTGCTTGCATGTTCATTCACTATAGGTGAGGTGCTTGCTACATTCGTTCCATGAGGAGTACCAGTTTCTACAAGGAAGGCAATGTTTTGTGAGCTTGACCATATTTACTGAGAGGCATTCACACATAATAAGTAATGATACAATTTATGAGTGACGTGCAGTTTTGGCAGTAAAAACAAACATTCAATAATCTACATTTCTCTACTAACTATGATAGCACATAATACTACTGCTTGGTAGAGATACTTTCATAACAATAACCACAAGGTCTGATAAAAAATATCAGTGATAACTAGCACTAGCATAACTTACAAGCTTCTAAAGGCTTCAGAGGTAAAGTTAGTTGCATAAACCAAGAATAAGAAAACAATTACACTTACTTTTTCTAACTGCTTTTGCATAGCTTCTTTCTGGTATCGTTGACTTAACACCATGTTGCACATTTTCTTCGCTGCCATCTCCACGATATGCTCCCATATTTCTCATGTTTGGTATAGAAGGCTAGTATACAATATGAAATGAAAACCAAATGATTTTCTAATTGAGGACCTAGACCTATTTGTCACAGGTACTATCCAACTTAAAAGTTGCTTCATAGCGTAAAATTTAAACAGTACATTAAAATAGGTTGAAATGACTAAACTAAATTTCTCATTTATTGCCGGCAATGGGTTGCACCTTTTTAACGCATTTATTGCGAAACTGCTTTCGCATCCATCCTTCAAATCACATCCTTTGATTAAAGATAGTATATTGCAATTGATACAACTCCCTAATGGGCCCTCCCCCATCCATCTGTAAACTAGCACCCTCAAATATACCTAGGGAGAGCCCTGAAGTTGCAAGGATAATAGCACAAACCTACCTTGTACATGCTGCTGGAGCAATGGTGTGAAGATGACGATGATCTTGACCACTCCGGGTTCATATGACTGGATCCGTTTACACTCACGAAAGACAATCTATCAGAAATGGGCAACTTGCGTTGATAATATCTGTCGGCTAACGATGACTTAGTACGGACAAGCCACTCTGCGATGCGACCGATCGGAAACCAGGAAGAGACGTATCCGTCATTCGCCTTCGCTCTTTTCGGAGTATTGATTATGTCCATTTCCAAGTCTCCATCGCCATTTCTATTGAGGGAAGATTTTTTTCAATAATACTAGGTAGTTTTAGTATGGCTATTCATAAACCTGACAAATACAAATATAAAACAGAGGCGGTCTAAGTACTATAAGATAGAACAGATAACTCTTAGCGATTGCTGTTTGAGCTTCTACCCTATTCTCAATTAGTAACAACTAACAAGCACCCAAGTGTTTTCCTTTTTCAGACTAAACTAAGTTATTAAACTTCCAATAAAACACAAATATTCTTGGTCCCATTTTGTAGAATGTAGGTAAACATCAATGTAGTTGTAGTTTATGCATACTAGAAACTATAACATTTATTAATAATGCCACTTTCGAGTACAATTTTGGCCTAGAATGTACATTCACGGGCGCTTGCTACTAATAATGTTTCAATAAGAAATTACAACAAGAGCCGCAGAGTGTCTGGGCTCATCTGAGGTCTGTTGCTACGGTTATAAACGTAACATTTAAGTCGTCCGTAGTGACACTTTTGTTAGGCGCAGATATGCAGATACGCAGTTGCGTACACATCATTTCAGCAAACATTTTTTTTATTGCAGAGAGAGAGAGAGCGAGAGAGAGGAAGAGAGAGAGAGGGGGGGGCGAGAGAGAGAAAGAGAGAAAGAGAGAAAGAGAGAGAGAGAGAGAGAGAGAGAGAGAAAGAGAGAGAGCGGGCGAGAGGAGAGATAAGGAGAGAGTCAGTCAGACTAAATTGCTTATAAAGAAATAACACCCACGCGGCGCGCTACACTGTATCGGTTACGTCATCGATTGAAATGTACATTCCGATTTCGCCGCGCGGCGTCCAAACTTTCGACGAAGATGGCGGGCAGAGGTAAGGCAGACGTACATATAACGTACAGATTTCTTCAATGTCGGGGAGGATCAACACATTTCGACTGACAGTCAACCATCGGGCTCTGCAGTGTCCACAAGCCAGCATGCTCCACCATATCCCGATATTGCACACTACTGTAACGTCGACAGAGAGAGCCATGCCAAGGACAGTACAAAACTGGGAAATTTTCATTGCTAGGTTTGACGATTCATTTCTGCAATTACTTATCTCAAGATTGGTTAAACTGAAGTTAAGAATGTAATTATTTCTGCACTTTTGAGTGCAATATACATTTGACCTATCCTGCAGGGACATTCTTCTCACTCTGTTCCGATAGATGGCGTGCATACTGACTAGGTGCAGGGAATAGATAATCCAAACTATGGTTTAGCCCATACTGTGCTATCAGCCACCCACCTCAGGCACCTGCTAGGTAGGCCTATTTATAGTTGGCATAATCAAAAACAGACGTTTGCGTAAGTGCTATAGAGTACCGAAGTGTGACGTCACGTTGGCAAGACAACGTACGGGCTGGTTCTACACAAGCCACTGGCTCCATAACGTTTACTGCGTGAAAATGTTGTGCGTACGTAAAACACGAGTGTGTGCGCTGCAGACAGCGGTAAAGCATCGGTAGCAAGTCGATCTTACAATATTTAATGAATAAAAAAAAAATTAAGGGGGAAAAAAACTTTTTTTTTAAATTTTTTTTTTGTTAATTTTTTTTTTTCCGTTGCTTTTCACTTCCATCCTTTGGAAATCTATAAAAACTGTAATAATGACTCTCAGAATGATGGTTACAATCGGGTACAAAACACGACACGCAGTTAATGTTACCAGAGCATATGATTGTGTAGAACCAGCAGGCTCGTTGTCATGCCACCGTGACGTCATCGCTTCGGTACTCTATTGACATTGTATTCCCAACGTATAGAATCTCATATAGAGAATGAAGTTCATATATGATTTAAGGCACGTAAACGTTGTTCAAGTAAGTTTTGCATGCAGAATTTCACTGTGAAATTTAAGTCTTCCACGATCACACAAGTACCATCAAACACAGTTCAGTCCTTTGTTAACAGTCAACAAATCCATGTTTAACCCTCCTCTTGAGGTTCAAAAGGTTATCAGACACTTACTCTTCGCACTTCAGTATAAAGCACATTTCATGGTCCTTTCAATAAAGTGATAAAAATTGTAGGTCAGCACTGAAACAAAAAAGTTTTTCACTCTGTCCGTTAGGCCACGTCCTCAAAAAATGTCTGAAAGCCAACCTTTCCCCCACTGCCCTTTGACCTGTGACCTCCAATTTCACACTGGTGATGGGTTTCCTGCCCATCACACTATACACCAAATATTAAGAGCATAGGTCGAGCCGTTTAGATTTGTGCCGCAATTCTGCATTTCCTCCCTATACCTTAAGTTAAGGAGGAAATGTTCCCCCGTCTTTTACACCTCTTGACCTTTGACCCCCAGCTTCGACATCCCAACTCGTTTTCAGATTACCCCCCTACGTCCCGACTTTCGAATCCGTACGTCAAGCCGTTTAGATTTGTGCCCAACTGTTGACGGACGGACGGACGGCCGGACGCATGCACGGACAGACAACCATGCGATTCTACAAGCTGCATCTGACTATGTCAGATGAGCTAAAAATGTACATCAACTTCATCTATTAATACTATATAATAACTTATAAGTTGTACAATAAACATGGCCATATTAAAGCCGCACTATGCGCATCCAAACGCTAATTTCTCCAGTACTAGACTAGCAAATACTTCGTGTCATGCATAATCACACTACCTTATGACAAAATAAACTCTAGATACCTATATATTCAGCTGGCATTTGAAACAACTGTTCATCAATGCATTTAGTCTGCTACAGATTTCAGCTAGAATATTATTAAATAAATGCATGATTTTAAATATTAAAATCTAGATCTAATAATTCTACCCATTACTGCTGAATAAGTGTTAAGTATTACAATGTTAACCACTTTGCAGCATTTTTGAATCGCGAATTTCGGATTTTACCCATTCCCGCCATTTTTAGGGAGAATTCTGGTGGTCTGATACCGAGTCACCGACACGGCAATAGCTGTTGCTAATGTTGACTGTGTTCTAATTTTGTGATAGCATACATGTAGAACGTTATGATTTCTTCCGTCACAAATACGTTGAAGTCTATTTTATCACCTGAAAGGTCAAATCGTGCTCCCAAACGGCAACTTGACAGGTACGTCAATCGACGACCAGTCGTCGTCATACTCATAGTCTCACACTCATACTCGTACTCGTACTCGTAGTTGTACTCGTACTTCGTAGTCGTACTCGTACTCGTAGTCGTAGTCATACTCATACTACTACTACTACCAGGCTACTACTAGTACTAGTGTAGACTGTAGTATGTAGTCCGTCCGTGCCGTGGACGTGGTGAGAGGTACGAACGACGAACAATGCCGAATTAGTTACAACAAGAACCACAGGCACTTGGAGCGTTTCATGCTAAATAAATACCAAATCTAATTACTACGTATCAAGCCAAAGTCTTAATGTTTCTCTACTCTCTTTCACCTAGTATTATTGCCGACAATTTCCTGTAAATTCCGTCCAATGCTCATCTGCAACACACGCTGGCTGCCGCACACTGACACAAATATATACTATTACTATATAGCGCAGTAGAAAGCGCGCTGCCAAATTCGCTTGACGCTCGCTGGATTTCACACGAATACAACACAAATATTCAACCATTCTACTCCATCTTTGTTTCTATTTCAAGGACAGTGTTCACTTGTTATAAAAAACATACTGTCTGTGTTCGTAACCGAGCTGTGTCACGCAAAAGCACACAGCCTGACGAAATTATCGCGTTCGCTCCCGTTGTGCAGTTTATGTAAATGGCTGCAAGTACAGGGCTATAGCGGCGCACTGCATTTTGGGAAACTACCACGCTGCTTCCGCATCCTCAGT